TCATGTAAGTAAATAAACCTTGTTTTGTGGTCTTCTTAGTACATATGAATTGGGTTGAGAGAATATAATTATTAGAATTTAAAGATAAGAAATGGTTGTCAAATAAGTATATTTCGCTGTGTTGTGTTCCCAATATCTTCAACAAATATCTCTGTTCTTCTTTCCTGGGAGGATTACATGCTTTACGATCTGTTCCAGATCTGTTGCTCTAGGAGGCCAGTAAAAAATAGCAAGCATATGATATAACCTGGCTGAAGTCATGGCAGATTGTAGTTATGTACTATGAAAATGAATGGTAACTTAAGCATGAACTTAATTCAGATTACCTTAAATCAAATAAAATGTTTTACTTAACTCTTCTGTCATTTTAAAAGGACTAGGTTTCCAAATGGATAATGAAAACCTTTTAATTTATAACTTAGAATACAATGCAAGTGTCATTCAAGGTTTTCAGTGAAAGAAAAACAATCTAGAGGTTGATTTTACAATACCCTTTTCAGAAAATTAGACTATTCTGTGCACAAGAGGTAATCAGATAAAGTAGAAGGGCAGCACTTTTCAGGAGCACATGTGTGTACACTTACACCTAAACACAGTTCAACCCAGATCAGCCTGTTTGTCCTCATGAGATTTATTTCTTTTTAATATCAGCTATTGTACTGAGAAGCCTCCTAATTGTTTCCTTAATTATCCCTCCATATCTAACTCCACATCTCCTCTGATAACACCCTGTACACAATTGTTATTTCTTAGTGGAATAACGATTTAGTGGTGGCTAATCCTTTCTATTTCAATTCATGCTTTCCCTATTGTCTACTCAATACTAGAAACAGCAGTTAAAGTGACTTAAGTTCTGCCTCGCTTCCTCTTGCTTTAATTAAATCATATATTGGTGTTAGGTATAATTTAAGATTCATAACTTTAGATTTGTCTTACACCAGATCATATGCGATTTCATCGGCTACCTCTCAGATTAGTCTTTGTTTCCAGTAGCGCTATGAAGGGAGCATTCATTAAGATGTTGTAAATATATAATGTACAATACACACAGGCTTAAAATTGTTCTTCTTTTCTCTGCTCTCTTTTATGGAAAAGTTTCTTTTTTTCTGTGAAAGTGTCCACAGTTCTACATCACTGGGCCTACAAACAGAAAAATGAGCCACCTATGCTCACATAACCATTAAACAGTATGTCGTACAACAAATTACATGATGTAAATTTTTAGTAATCTTACTTAATAATATAGTTACTATTTCTCTAATTATTTGGCCTTTTCACTCTTATTTTTCCTAGTTGGTAACAATATGTGGTACAGCTGCAAACTTTCACAGTAATAGGTATAATCGAATCTGATGTGTCTAATTAATTTTTGGTCCAACAAATTAGCATTACTCTCCAGTGGGAGGGTGACTTTATATTTCATTATATTTTTTGTCTACAAGAACAGCGGAGAATTACAGGTCACATGTATCCTTGTCTGTGCTTTAATTAGTCCAACTGACAACACTGTTTCTAAAATACTGGTAACATAAAAGTAATAAGCATTAGATAATATAGCTATTACTGAATATTCAGTATATTATTTTATGGACTCCATGAAATTAATAAATAAATACACTATTTTATGGACTGGAAGGGCAGATTTTCTTTTCTCTTGCTGTTTAAGAGTTGTTTTTCTTTTTAGTAACTATTGATACTTTAAAAAAATTACATCTCCCAATTTGTGGGTTTGATTTTTACACTGATGGTGACTTACTTTGATGTGTAAAACCTTACAATGAGATGAGATCCCAGTTATTGACTCTTTGAAGTATTTCCTGTGCAGTTTCGTTTTTGTTCATGAACTTTCTGCCTACCCTATGGCTTCAATATTTCTACATACCTTTTCTTCCAGGAGACTTGGTGTTTCTGTTTTAATATTTAGATCTTTGAACCATTTTGACTTTAATGCATGGTGGGAAACGTGGGTCTAGTTTTATTCTTCATATGTGCAAAGTCAGTTTTTCCAGCACCAATTATTTAGGGGAGGTTTATTTTTGTTTTTGATGCTGAGGACTGAGCCCAGGGCTTCCACATAGTAGGCAAGTATTTTTCCACTGAGCCAAATCCCCAACCCTCCAGATCCATTTATTAAAGAGTCTATAGGAACAGTTAATGCCTAATAGTTTGATCAGTTTTGCACGTTATAACTCATAATCTGAACAACCATATTGGAGATTGCAATATAAGAATCATTGTTAATTTTATATCATCTTGTTTTGATATCCTGTATCATTTTTATTCTCAAAAAACAAAAAAAAAAAAGGAAAATCACAACATCTCTATTGGAAGTATAGTTATTTAACATAAAGTTTTTATTAAATTTATACATATAAAAATTAAGGATAGAATCATGGAATAGAACTTGTTTACTTAAGTGAATCTGATTTTTAAGTGTGGGCCCTAACAGGTATTTCAAAAATGAAATAATTGTATATATGGTACTTGTAGCACCTATAACAAATAACCTTTCATTTTTATTGGTTTAGCTAAAGGTTTCTTTGGGGAGAGAGTACTTATTCGTAGTCCATTTAATATAGCCCACAAACTAAAGGTCTAAGCTTCTTCAGTCCATACCAGTCATGCTAAGTTCAAGGATCCTTCTAAGAAATAGCCCTACCATCCCTTAAGGACTCAATATCCTCCATAGATTCTTTATTTTGTGTAATGCATTAGCAAAGAGAAAGAGTATCATCAAGTATTGTCACAGCAGATATATGCCTTGGTCTAGAGGTGGTCCACCTCATTTTTCCTTCACACTTCTGCATAATATTCATTCACTTTGTTGTTCTCAGCTGCAAAGAAGGCTGGAAAATTTAGGATAACTTTCTTCCCCGGAAAAAAAGAGAAGTGATAGGATAAGCAAGTCTCCTGTATTTTCTAAGCATCTCAAATCTAGATGATTCACTCTGGTTGTCCAAGAAGTTAACAAAAACGTTCTTAAAGTACCCTATAGGGTTACCTGAACCATAATTTAAAGTCAAACTATAGTGCTCCTAACAACTTTTTTCTATGAGTCACCTTAATGAATCCTTCCAAACATATGAGGTAGAGAGTACTATTGCTAACTAACTGAAACAGAAGTTTATAAGATTAAATCCCGTTCATGAGTTTACTGCTAACTTACCTGGTACATGGTAAAGATAGTAGCCTGATCTAGGACATCAAAAATCATGCTCTTTCTAATATATTATAGCGTTGAAGTAACTACAACAATGACAATCCCGCACCTTCCTGTGGTATAATAAGCTATGATATGCCATTTATGGCATGTCCATAATTTACCTTTGATTAAATACTATGCATATTAGCATTACACATCACTTAATTCTCATTGTGTGAATTAATCTGTTAAATAAGCATTTATATCTTTGCTCTTCAATGATAAGACTATGTAAATTTCATATCTATTTAAAAAGTTTACACTTTCTTAATTATCTCTGAGAGGTCTAAATATTGAAAATATGACCAATTCTAGAATAATATTAATCTATATGTGAATTTTGTTTTATTGTAGAGACCTTAACATTAACTATGAAATTATCCTTTACTCAGCATTTAAATGAATTATCAAATTAATTTTAAAGAGTATAAGACAGTGATGGCAAACCTTTCAGAGATGAGCACCCAAAACTATGACCTTAAATCCACTTATTTATCAAAAAGCCAACTCTTTAGTTAAACTTGAATACTGACATTTTAGTTTAGAAAAAATAACTCAAATATTAATATCTTCTGTCTTAAAAGAAAAACAAATAACACAGGTCCTATAGGTTACCAATCCTGATATAAGGCATAAGTCTTACCTTTCTTCATATTTAATCATGCCTGCTGAACTCTTTGAAATAATGCTTATATAAGTGTAACTAGTATATAGTAGCTTTCATCCTTTCCAGAAAGTTAAAATATATATAT